CGCCACGATTACCGAAGCGGGACCGAAAACTCTCCGATCATAACCGGAAAGCCTACCGAGCGTTCCCGACGGCGGTAGCGGACATTCCGGACTATATCCAAAATGGCGGCGCGGATGTACCGACTAGCTATTTTAGTACTTTCCCGTCGCGCTGTGGAATATTTAGGCCGATCTGAACATCGGCAACCCGGCCAATTGTGGAGTTATATTGTAGGGAAGCTCGGGACAGCAAAAAACCGGGTCAAAAACGGAGCATCGAGCAGCCAACGGGAAATGTGCAGTTCTGCCAATGGATCTTTCCACGACTCTTGCAGAGGGTAATGCAATGTAAGCCCGAGTCAAGAGTCGCCACGGCTAAAGTTTGAGTAGCCTGTTGTGCATCAAGATAACGTACCTGAACTGCAGCATGAATGATTATGTAAAATTTTGGTTACGCATTGGCTTTTGTGCGATATAAACATCATGGATGACTAGCAGCACACTCAACGGTGAACAGGTGTGAAAATGGGGGGGAAATATTGGAACACGCAAACCTACGCTGTACTTATCCAACCCTAGAAGTCTAAGCAGGGTTGTTGTACTGGAAGTTGAACATCGTGTTCAGAGCTGTGGGAAAAGTTGCAAAGCTGAAATTTAACGTTAGAAAGTGTTATGAATGATGTGCTTCATTGTTTGTTTTTTTTGTCCAGGGAAGAAAAAGGTCCATTTTAAGTTCCTAGATGGCAAGGAGCTGGCAGAGGAATATGATGTGAAGACCAATGATCTCTTGCGTGAGTTCTTGAGTGCTAATCTCACTTACATTGTATGCGTCTATAAATTGTATGATTGAGAACTAGGACTCAATAGGAGTAAAGTTTAGGGTCACTTGTTCTCACTTATATGACTTATTACATCACATACAATGGTATTTACGTCGATGAAGGTTAGACATCCAGGTAATACGATATGCCAAAAAGCAGTTACTCAAGCAACTGGATATGATTTTGAAAACGTCAGACGTTTATTTTCAGCTAGTATCCACTGCTTTTTGGCGTATACAATGGTATTATTTACACAGAAGCAGATTAAAACACTGCTACCTAAAGAAGGATCAGAGGTACTAATAATGAAGAAGAGTGTTGAAAAAAATGTACAACCTAAAGGTTTCTTCAAAATTGCTTTTGTATTTTTCCGTTGATTTTGTTTGAGAAATAACATGTTTTGACAATTGATTTGTTTTTTCCCCCCACAGTGAGAAAATGGAGGAAAAAGGGAACATTGGGAGGCGCGGGTACCTGGGAGATAGAGGTCGGTGACCCCCAGGTGTTCCGGCCTGTTGCCATGGAGACACAGGGAATGGTGGAAAGTAGCAGTAACGTAGGTGTTGACATCACCTTCATGTGCTAGTTTGCTACTGGTGTACATGCATGCTTCTGTTCTTGGGTAAACTGATAGATGGAGCTTTTTATCAATGATGAAGGCTGTTACATACATGATAAGTCAGGATGTCCAGCACAGAGGTATTGTTTTGGATGGCTCTCTGAGTGGGTTTGTATTCTGTCCACCTAAGTTTGTCCAAGGAGCTGATATGGGTAAGCTCCTTGGTTTGTCATACAGTCTCCTCAGTTCTTATCAAGGAGCTTACATTTTGTATATGGAGACACAAGCTCTCAAAAACCCAAATTACTTCCCAGAAGTCTGAAATCTTTGATTTCTTGTTTAGATTGCATCAATATCACTGTGATGCTATATAGAGGAGTTCATTAATAATGATATGAATTTGTTTATTTTCCAGCCCATTTTTACAAGAAGAGATACCAAAAAAGCGTTTATGTGGAGAATCCGCAACCTTCCCTACCCAATAGAAACTTATAACGTCACAGTTGACACAGACAACAGATGTGTCATTGTTAGAACAACCAACAAAAAGTAAGTATTGTTTTAGCTGTTATTTCTGACAAAAAATTACTTGTTCTGATAGATGGTAATGTTTCCTGTTGAATGCTCTAGAATTACTACAGTATCAGACTGACATGTTTTCTTTCTTCCTTCTCAGATACTACAAGAAGTTCACTATTCCTGACATGGACAGGGCAGGTCTTCCTTTGGAGCAGAGGGCTGTTAACTATGCACATGCTAACAACACACTGGTCATCACGGTCAGTAGAATTCAAGATATGAACAATTATGTGTCTAGTCTACAGCAAAGCAGTCTTTGTCAAGTGATAATGTCATACCCCCCGGTAAGTGTAAATAGGAGCCTGTAGAAGTCAGGTCAGGAAAATTTAACAAATGTACAGGCTAGGTTAAGCAGCTAGAGTTGCATTGTATACTAGATACTACAGTCTTTATTTTTGTTGTTTGACAATGTCATCTTTTACTTGGCTTTCAAAGACTTGGTAGTGCAAGCAAGTTGTAATTCAAGTCCTGCTTCCCTTCCTCTGGCATCTTCTTTTCCTTTCCACCTCTGCCATCATTCAAGTCACCCAAACCAAAAAGTATGGTAAATTACCGTTGCAAACTTTTTTTTTAATTTGGGAATGGAGGAAAAGTGATATGCATGCAGATGTCATCCATGTAATCAAGTCAGTGTGGCCTGAAGGACAAAATATTGAGGAATCCCTGAGTAAAACTGTAGCATGTTTACTGTGTTTCCTACAGTACGAGAAGCCGGCAGGTGTGCTGGAGATGGAGAGACAGGTGCTGCAGGAGCTCAAGAAGCTGAAGGCCTCCAGGGACGGTGATGTCGAATGTAACCCCAGCTGAGACATTTTTTTTGGGGGGTGGGGATTGAAACACAATTATTGTTAACTATCAGGAAATTTGCTGATAAAAAGTCTGCTATGAACCTTCACAATTCTATTAGAATCTGACGCCAGCAGTCCAGGCTTATAAACTTGTGAAAGAGAAGTAATTGTAGATTACATTCCTAGCAATGGTGGTGTTTTTTTAGAATGGTGTTGCTATATATATATGCATGATGTACTGCTGCACAGCATGTACAGTACCGGTATTATTATTTCTCGTAGCTTGGATGATTGACTGTCCTGAAGAAAGGGTTAATGTTTGATTTGAAGTGTTGTTGTATAGGTATTACTAGTACATGTATATTTTTCACTTGTGTATGTTCAAATAATGTACTAGCTAGAATTGTATATTCCTTGCACTGTTAGATGAGATTTTTCAGGCAGAAATAAACTGCATTTGTAAAAATATTTAGGCAAAAAATATTGACAATGGATATAACGTTACATGTATGTAGGTTAATAAACTGAAAAACCTTACTACAGCACTGTGTCAGCATTTATGTCTGGAAAGGAATTCTTGTCTCCTGTGCCTGAGAGTTAAGTGCACTGTTTCTACAAAACTTAACCCTTGTCCTAGTTTATAAGTTTCAGCCAATCCTTTTCTGCTGCAACACCAGAGGCTATAAAAAATAACATCACTGTTACTGTTAAGTTAGCTCCTTTGGGCCATAACATCTCCATCTCTGGACTTAGTTTGCACATAGGGAGGATGTGCTTTGATTTCTTCTTGCTTTATGAACTACATTGTAGACACCAGTATTTGGACAGCTTCCCAACAGGTGCAGTAGTCTGATAACAGCCACGCTCCAGTGATACCACATAACAGTTGAAGATGGCTGCAGGTGGGAAAGGTTTGACGTCAATGTTCTGTTGGAACTAATATAGTTACTATATAAGTACAACACAAGCTTACCTACACTGTACAGTACTTAACTCCGCACATAAAATGATGACATCAGAAGATGACGGATTGTTGGCAACATTTGAAGCAGAGAAGCCTCTAGTCTAAATGATGATGTGGAGAGCACAACGAAATGTCAGAATGAAAGTTTTCTTACCCAGTTAAAACAACTTACAGGTGATTTAACAATTTAGCTCTAAGATTGGTAGGCTGTGTGTGAGCAGAATTATGACTTTTCTAATTACCCTACTGTTGTTGAAGTGTCAGAGCAACACCTGCCTCTGGATACAGAAATTTGCTTGTGTCACCGAATTGAAAAGTAGAGCTTGGTCCTCCTTTGTACAATATAGGGCTATAATTGGTGAGATACGCCTTTTCATTGCTTATAATAATGGTTAAACTGTTTAACATGTATTGCTGGGATAACTGTGTGTCATTCTCAACAGGTCTAGGCAAGTCAGGCTGAAATGGAAGCAGACACAATAATGACAAACTGCAGGTTTTCTCAGTGAGAAAGCTCTCTTCTCAAGTCCACACAAAAATACAGCATTTCTCTCAAGCAATCTTCCCACAAACACGGGAAACGCACCGTCATGTAGGTCAGAAACCTCGTATCTCATTACAAATATACAAATCATGGCAAACTAGTTCCTACTCTCTCATCTTGTTTCTCAATTGTCTAGTCATTCCAACTTACTGCAACTCAACTAAAAGCTAATCTTCTAAATTCAGGGTTTTCTTTATCAAATAATACTAATCAAGACAAAGCACTCGCCATAATTATAGCTATAACATATAGTATTTACTTTTTTTAATACTCAACATAAATATGTCTACAAATAAACAGTGTACAACACAACAACTCTGTGGTGGGATTAAGTCCGTTTGGTGCAACACACAAACAAAAAATCAACCCGAGACTTGAGAAATACCCATAGACACTTTTGTGCACTGGTTGTGCCAGGTGTTGCTCTGGGGTAAAACAGTCCTGTCACAATCTGTTACATTTGTACATCACCACTTTCCTACAGGTAGCTCCTTGTCACAGTCAAAAGTTCATGGAAGTGGTGTTGGTTTTGAAATCAAAGCCACACTTTGTGCTCAAGACAAACTGTGATTCTATCCAAACATTGACTAAAAGACCAAAACCCCCTGAAGGAATCTTATCCATCCTTCAGAAATGGATCATGTTGGAGCTGGAAAGTTTGGTGTATGGGACAAAAGTTCTAAACAGCATGTTGTCAGAACCCAGAGTCTTGCTTTTCTCAAGTCTTTGGTCACGCTACCCGTGTGCACTTGCATGAACATGATGCACATGGAATGTGGTATTGGTTAATCGATGGAGACAGTAACACCAATCCACAAGAGCTGCATCAGTGCCATTGGGACATGCTTAAAGATGGTGCCTGTTGTAGAAGGGAATATACCATACTTTCATTGAGGAATATAGCATACTTTCATTGCCAAAGTGGTTCTGAACAATTGAAATACTTGCGTCTACACAGTTTTTTGGGGGGTCAGAAGAAAGGAGTGAAGTGAAAAACAGGAATGATTCCAACAAACATGATTTTTCTTCAACATCTTTCCAGTTGCCAATCAGAAATTTCTCTGCACATCCCCGTGTCTCATCCCCATAATAACCATTCTGACTTTTCTTACTTTGCACGTCTTTGTCCAATGTTCATATTTGACAATATCTGACACTATCCAAAAAACAGGCACTGATGCAAAACCAGCTCTTGTAGTGGTTTGTTCCTGCCAAGGAGGAATGTAGAATTCATGCAAACATCTTCATTCTGCATGCAGAACATCTTCACAGTCCTAGAAAGACCACACGAGGTCAACAGTGGTCACCTACTCTTCATACCATAAAACGTCATCACTACTGAGATACAAATCTCAAACTTTTTCTATAAAATCACTTTGATTTCTTCAATTGGAACACCCTATCTATGTGGGTCCTGGCTGCTTGGCAGAGATTATGGTTTACAAATATTGTGCTTAAAGCTGTCCAATATGGAAACCAACCTATGACCTATACATTGAACCTAAGGTTAGAGTTGAGAGGTCAAAATGTCAAACCCTGACCTTGCCAAGCAGCCGGGACACATTCCTTACTTGACAACATTGAATATAGATATACAGAACCACACAACGTTTTTTTGTCTCCGTACACCGAGAAAGAAATTTCCATAAAACACGCTCAGGCTCAAAACAGCACAACCTGTAGAACACACTACCAGCAGGCAAAAGACAGGTTAATTCACAGGTCAAGACCTGTCCCAAAGTCTGGTTGAACACACAAAAAGGAAACACGCAATGCAGCGCTTGTAGTTAAACCAAGCGGCTACAAACTGCAAAATTTTTTCATGGCAGTCACGGGGTACTGCACTGGATATAATGGACTGGGTAAGATACGCATCACATGCAGCCAGTCTAAGGTTCCTCTTCTGCAGAGCTATACACGTGCTACTCCTATCATTAAAGCATACAAAATTTATTGTGCACACACATAGTCTTCCCCCTGGCCTGCTGTTACCATGCATCCCTATGCTGGAGAAGCCATGGCATTTCCACTCATTGTGCACAGGTCGTTACAACTTCCAACGCAAAATTTGCTGTTTATTTTAAAGTGTCGAAACTCTGAACATGCTATTATTTTCCTGAGGAATTGTGGTACCATTTCTTCTCAGTTTGCTGGTATTGGTGTTTTTTCAAACATTCATAGAATGGACCAGTGTAAGCTACAGTTACTTTCTTCCCTGCATTAACCATTGATAATTGGTGAAATGGGTCTACTTTCTAATACAGAACAAGCCCACCATTTCAAGAGCTGCCTCTGATTCCAACTACAGGTCATCTACACAACATTTGTTTATCATAACATTTTCATAACATCACATATATTATTACCATCATAAACTCTTGCCTTACAGCCATTGATAAATCAATAACAGAACCAGTTCATTTTCCTTGGTGCTTCCATCAAACAATCTGTACAAACACTTAACTTTTGCCATGTTTCCCTGCCATAGAGTTTTGTAGAGTGATATACTTTCATTGTCATCATTTCATTTTTAACACACCTTACAGTAATTGACAATGGCTGATACAACACATGTTGGGCTCCAAAGTCTTTGCTGCAAACTTGCCCCACAGAACTACTTCATTTCATCATAACTCACTTTCTTCCTTCTCCAGTGTTGTGTGTGACACATACTGGTAGGCATGGATTAACAACAGTATATAATGGCTTGCATCTGTCAGGATTTTAGTTTTGAAGGATCTGAAATCAACCTTCAATCTTTTCAAAGACTTAAACATCAAATCTTTTTCTTAAGGTGGTTAAATGAAATCCAATCACAACTGTTCATCTTTTCTTGACAATAGATGAGAATTTGAAACACCACTCAGCCCAGCAGAAATGCCCCCTAGTGAGGTGGGGGAAAAATGCAGAAAACACCAGTCCTTCAAACAGTATGTGCCATACCAACAGGTTCCAGGCCCTACTAGACCAACAATACTGGTGCACTACACGTACATGTCATCGGTCAACACCTGACCATGGTTAGAGTAGTCAATTTCCCTCACCGTTCCAGCTGAACGTGGAAAATAGTTTGGAGAGAGAGTTGATACATCAACATGCTGTTGACATTTTGGAACACAAAGAGGTTGTGTTTAGAAACGGGTAGAAAAACTAGCAGCAACTTTCACATTATTGGTTTTTAAGGGAAATGGGCCCTTTGGAGGTACTTGTATGAAAGGTCATGACTTTCTAGTTAAAAATGACATTGTGGCTTAAACTCACTGTGTTGTCTCTCAGACACAAGGTCAGGTCATTATCTTAACAGAAAACTATACATGTATATAATACATGATTGTGTATTAAGCCAGTTGTGACACTGTTGTTGTATCACTAATTTGTGATACGCATCAAGGTGCCACAGAAGATAATGAGTACATTTCAGAATGTGACTGACTATGGGGAAAACTGTAAGACTAAGAGCTGGCAAAGCTATGACCTTTCATAGTGTGGGAATCACTTTGAATCTGAAGCAAAACTTCTGTATAATGTTGGCTGGGAAAACTTGACATTGTCTCAAACCTGACCTTGGAAGTCACACCCTGTTTTCCTCTCAATCTTCTTCACAAAAATAGACATTTTCCTGGTTCTTCACTCTGCCCTCTCTCTCTCTGGCAGCCACATAACGTCACACCACATTGTGTCCTTTACTGATGAAATATCATGTACAAATCACTCAGCACATATGAGGTAATGTTATCTGATGCAAAACTTGTGGTATCGCTTTCTATTTGTACAATTATCACAAACCTCCTGGACACAGAAAGCTTATCATACCAAGTCAGTCCACATCTTTCAATTTCTCTCAATCTGGTCAATGTCAATTTCGTCATCGATAGGGAAAATGGGTTCTTCAAAGCTGCCGCAGCCTCCTCTGTCACACTCTGCACTGTCTCCTCCTTCCGTTCCACTGTCGTCCGCGTCTTCTGCCTCCCCCTCGTCCCCACTCGGGATGATCTCATCCACACACGCTGTCATGGTGACCAGGTCTGACGGCGTCTTCTCCCTGTCTTTGTTCTCCTCAAGGTCCTTGGTTGGGCTCTGTGAGGGGGTTATCATGACGCTGGAAAGGGTGGAGTCACAGGGAGAGGACATGATGGGCTTCAAGCCAAGAAAGAACTCAGAGTCGATGAAAAAGGAAGCCAGGCTGCGAGAACTCCTTATGTTCTGGAAAACACAAAGAAGAACAAATATTACACTTTTTGTATAATAATTTCTCATCTTCATCAGAACTTAACAATCATGAAATTCCCCTTCATACATGTATGTATGGAATGACTGAAAAAGAGATAAATATTTGGTAACAATTCAAACTGCTAACTAACTAAAGTTATATACATTTGTAGTTACAAACTCATATTGTTTTTGCTACATTTCCTCTTCTTCTTCTCCAAGCAGTGACCTGACTGAACAAGACTGTCTGTCACCATTTGGTTGTTGGGTTACATAATGTTGCAATTTTATAGTAGGAGGGATTTAGACTCCTGTCACCATATATGTCAATGTGTTTGAGTATTAACAGAGCAGACCATATAGTGTGAAGGTAAACATTATGCATTCGCTTTGCAGATGTTACTTTTCTAGTTAGTTAATTATTTAATTAAAATACATAGATGCAGGAATGGAATGCAAATGGACACAAAGACATACGAATGTACGAGCAGACAAGCCAAAAGCAACACTTCACTGCCACGAGATGTGACAATCACTTCTGATAAATACAAGACGTATGTTTCTGTCTTACTCTTATCACTTCCAAATTCTCCAGGCAGAACGAAAAGTAAGACTGTGATGAGCTGCTCTGAACAAGTATCTTTCTTAGAGGAAAATTATAAATCTAGGTCAGGCAGGATATCCCTATAAGCAAGGAATCAAATTGGTAGGGCTTTAGGAAGCAGAGTCAATGACCCATAATCTACCACTCCTGGATGCCATTAGAGCTGGAGTCTAAGCAGCTTAATTCCACCATGACATCCACCAGCCCGCACAGAGACAGTCATATCACAGCCATCATCTTGGGAACATACCAAGCAAATGGGAAAAGCAGTGGATTTCTGAAAATGGAAAGCCTCTCAAGGCAGCATATAGTTTCCTCCGAAAATCTCCATCTTTGCATGTAATATGCAGTTTTAAAGGAAGCAGCTAAGGCCTACCTAAGACAAAAATCATGAAAATTCATCAGTAAGTATTTGGGTTATGCTTACTCTCCAAGCAGAGGTTGTGGGGGAATGATCGTTAGCTTTTTGTATATGGCCGTTTTTTAGTCGCTACCCCCATGTCGGTGGCCGGCGACCTTCTCTGGCTAATGCCAGTAATGGATACTGTCTTGCCACCGAAAGGGATCTGCTTGGAGATTAGGTTATGCTTACAAACAAGCAATCCTGTTCACAAACCAGTTGACAAACAGCAGATAAACATTGCCGGGTAATACTAGAAGCATAGCCTCCTTGACAAAATCAAAGGCAAACAAACCAGATCGACCATAACCCAGTTTTTATGCCCTTGACATGACTGTGAGAAAGTCATACAATCCCACACTGTAGATGCAGAATCTATGCCACTAAAGGGGCCGCTAGTAATTGTGTTGTGCTTGAAAGCCTCTTTCGGATCTTCCTGTACGTTATTCTGAAAATCAAAGTGCAGTGCTGGCTTAAGGGGTTACATTTAGAACAACCCACTGAGCTTTTATGTTACTGAGATACTGTTGAAGAAATATGTACCACATCCAAGCAAATTGCTTTGTGTTGCTTCAAGCTAATGTTACATGACGTACATCATTAAGCAGTTATATAACCTTTCCAAAGTTTGAACAGTCGACGCTAACCCCAACTACCGGTAATAGCTGCATTGCACATGCATTCAAACATACATGTAGGACTGAAATTCACTCCCAACAGTGTGATTCAGACACAGTAGCGCTAATCGTTGGACCACCACACATTAATCAGAACACTATCAGTTTAACATATGGCAGCTGCCTGTAATATAATACTAGTCAGAATGGTCATAAAATTCGCTTCATGTAAAAGGTCTTAACTTAAAGACTGGCATCAGGTTTAATCTGCTCAAATTTCTGGCAGTTGCCAAGACCTTACACCCTAAGCTGGCTTCTGTCAGTCTTAGTTAGATGGTTCTGATGTTCGAGCCATTTTGTTTTTGAATGCACCAGCGAGTAGGTTACATCCATATAGTTTTATCATTCAAAAGGAATGCATCAGTGACACTGATACTAACATGATATTTGCTAGCACCTCATCATGGGTAAGCGATAATTACTGGCACTGCAGGGTCTCTTACCCCACCTGCAGACCTTTATAGGATTTCAGGCTGCATGTTGCTGAACTGCTCATATTCTTTTAATATGTTAATAAATCAACAAACCAGTAAGACACAGAAGGAAGTACAATTGTGCCAGGCTTTACAAAATAAGTAAGTCCAATAGCAAGTCAGGACTGGCAGACTTGTGAAGTTTTGATGAAAAAAATTCAACCCAGGGCTGTGCTGGAACTGAGATTTTCTTGTTGGGATGGACAAAAATTTCACCCCATCTGTCTCAAAAATCTGAACTTCATGAAACAAAATACATTTTGCAAGCTTACAATGACAGATTTACAAAGACCTGCTTTATAAAAACACGCTATTTAGAGGGTTGGAAGCTCCAAAATTATGCTCGCTTAGAGCCGCTTCCAAAATGAGTGGCATGGACAAAAACTTAAACAAGAAGACAGCCGTGATTCAACCCCAGTTTGTACCCAGAGCAGTCTCTAGATCAGAGGCTGAGGGATCTATCTGTTCCTTTTAGCAACATCAGGACAGACTGCCAGGCACCAGAGGCACCTCAGTACCAATCAGTCTCTGATTCGTTCATCGTGGACCGCTGTAATCACAGGAATGGAAACCTGCTGCAGCAGGTGCTGAGACCAAGCTGCTAAGTGCAACATGTGGTCTTAACGCCGCCGCTTCACCATCACAGAACCAGACACGCCGGCACCGCGACAGGATGGCGCAAAGACACTGGTCACTTCCACGTGTCAAATTCGTCAGACAACTGGTGATCCATTCCATTTGGGCTAAGGATTGATAAATACCCGATGTGTCTTCCACGACACTAACTCTCTTGGTTGCCTAATGGATTCAACCTACCCCATGTTTCTTCTTGCTAATCTTTTTCTTGTTTTTCTATCAGCATATCGACACTGAAAAGTTGCTGGAATGTTATCTTTTCTAGATTCTAAAGGTTGCAACGGTTAATGGTTAAGTTTACATGATTCATACGAGTAAGCTCAAGCTGCAATGTTAGTTCAGGGAACCAACAGCTTTTGTACCACATCTATGAGTATGAAAAGTGTGGATAGTTCTTTATTAAACATTAAGCAGTATTCCACTAAGAAATAATTTGTACCCTGCTAAGAAAGCCCCATATTGAAAAGAAGTGAAAGCTGTGCCATATCCTGAATACCGACCTGTAAAATTGCATGACTGATGAAATACAGTCATTGGCAGGGAAAGAGGAGTACATGGAAATTGGAAATTGAATTAGGAGTACAGAAAGTCACCTTGCCAATGTAGTTCCAAGGGCACAAATTCCATTCTGGAGCAGGTTTGTTAGATTGGGATTGACAGCTGATCACGTTCCACCTCCAGTGGATTCACACAGACAGCTTGTCTCCACTAAAACGTCATTACCATTAAACAAAGCTTCATCAAACTCAAGTAACAAATGGGAGTTTTCCAAATATTGTGGCTTTGGCCCAATTTTCCACTGCCAGAGAGCACTACTTAACAGTGATTGTGCTTCTGGCAAATGTTCAGAAACAGCCTGCTATCCACACATTTACTGTTATCTGATGCTGTTCCATTGCTCTCTCAGTGGTTGACGTGATGAAAGAAGTATGTTCATGACCTTCTGACATGTTCATGTGAGGCTGCTACTGCAGGGTTCAATTTTTCATCTTGTAAAAAGTCATTTTACTGAGTAAAACGTCTGCTTGTTGGACAGAAACCGAGAAGGGTTGAAAGCTAAGTCGGAAATGAAATACAAGTAGATTATGCAGGTTTCCAAGCCTTCCTGTGGTCACCTTCAGGCAAGTCTTCCATCTACAGTTGTAAAACTGGTTCAACAGAGTTGCTTCAAGTTAGACAATGTGACATGGGTTGGCACTGAAGATACCCAAGTAGTCAACATCTTTCCTTGGCCTGTTTGGCCCCCCAAATAAACCAATAAGACCAAGTAGATACACCACTTTCTTATGGTAACAAAATGGTGCTCAGCGGATGTGATAAATGCCATGGGAATCAATCAGCTGGAGGATATGTTGAGCTGATGCTGACCTTTTGACCTTTTTGAGACATTTCCTCTGGATCAACTCAATATAAATGATTCCCCAGTGTATCAAGGTGTTTATTGATTTCTTGTGATATAACTTTCCTCTAACAACTTTCTTGTTAAAAAGCATCCTTGAGTACAGTGTTGAAAGGCATACAGCAAGGAGTCAGCCACCATCTATTCTGTAATTGCCAGAGTTTGAAGATGTCCTAAGGGCTCTTATGTACATGTACCTCTTCTCAAGAATCATATACATGTATTCCTCTTCATGTCACTGACATTTTCATTCAATCGCCTTCCTTCAATGCAATTGCGGCGACTGTAGCTGGAGGCACTGAACGGTATTCCCTGGGCTCCTGTTCCCCATAACCTTCCCCGTCCAATTAGCGCACATTGCCAGTAGGTCCACCAGGAGACCCTTTGATATCTAATGCCCCCTGCTGTTCAACTCCCTCCGAGTTTTTTCATCAGGCAATATTGAAAGAACACTGCTGCGAAAGGCACATAACAAATTGTCTGTGTCAATCAATGCCTGGACTACCTTCCACGAAATCAACATGATTTATGGGTACAAGTTGGAACACATTCACTCTCAGCCCTGAGTCTGTAAAATTTCTTTGGCAGAATAGAATGTAATGATATACAATTTGTCTCATACATGCAGATAGCAATTTGTTTTCCATCATAATGAAGGGTTCAGTTTTCTTGTGGGAGAAAAAAAATCATAATCATCTGAAGATAACAGAGGTAGCAGGAACATGCACAGTTTGTTGTTTTATTGGATTTGTGGTGTTGCATGGGAATAACTCAAAGGATTGCTGTCTGACATGTATGGCACATA